CTCACAAAATCAATCTTTCTAATAAAAATGGCTGTTGATATGTTAAAATGCCCAGATTCTAATCAGTAATAATTATCACTTAGATTCTGTGATGCCCAGATAAATACAGTAACTTAGGAAAAAAAATAAGGCTAAGGAAATTGGCTAAGGTCAGTTTTTATCTGTAAGAGCAAAATTTCCAATACTCATTTCTCTTTACCCTAAATTTGCATCACTGGTAATGTGCATTATATACAAAGAATTGTTTTTATATTTTGTTTTATAACTTTGGCTATCATGTTCGTATGATTAAATTATATTTTGTTTCTGATAGCATGTACACTACATTCCTCTAATCATAGGAGACCATCATGAAGAGAACAATGATAAGTTTTATATTGCGGTTCTCAACAGCATGTGACTGTGACTGAGTTCCAAGTTGCACTAAATAATAGCAGAAAACAAAAGAAAGGGAGCTTTGTAAAAATCTGTTTCTTCTGTGAAAATTGATGAAGACAGGCTGAAGAGTATGAGAGAGAGAAGAGAGAGTCAAGAGGGAAAGAGGTGAGGAGGTGCGTAAGGAGGTGAAGGAAGAGGGAGGTGAGGGAGGAGTAGAAGGAGGAGAAATTAGGAGACGGTGGAAACATGGGAGTTCCCAACTTGTTTACTCAGTGCCACTTCTGTAACACATTCCTTTCTGGATGTAACCCACATTTAGGGAAGGCATCTTAATTAGGTAATTTTTATAAATGCTGAGACTGTGTAGACTAAATCAAGGGATCTATATAATTAAGTAAAATTAGCCCCACCTGTCTTGTTTCTTTCTACTTTCTATGCTTCATCATCACCTCACAGGCAGGTACAAAACATGTTTTTCATCCTAATATAGGTAACCTACTTAATTCTTATTTGCCATTGAAATCATGAGACATCAACATATACGTGCTTGAAATACATTAAAATAAATGAAAAATTTATCATAATTCCTGTGTACCCTTATGTTGAAGGTGCATATTTCAAATAATTTCTTAGTTAGAATAATTATGATCATTTCAAAATACACATATATTTATTGAGGTTATAAATGTACAAATCTGAGTGAATTTATTTTAATCAACTATGAAAAATAAAGCTACACCAACAGCTTACTAGAAAAGAACTAATGCAATGTTTCTTCAAAATGAAATAAAACCATCAATCCCTGGACTTGGCCACAGGACTGTGTCACTTGGTCAGTGTCAGTGACAGGAATAAGTAAATATGTAACTTTATAATTTATATATAAAGTGATATAAATGGTTATAACAGGGTTAGGAAGCCTAAGTGCATAATATGTGACAAGACACATTTTTATAGTATGACATCACTGAGGACGAAAAAAATATCGAATACTTTCCTTAACTGGATAGAGAACTGAACTGCAAGGCCAATTCATTCTGAGAAAGTCAAGAAACTCCATTGTTGGTTAATGTGTAGGTGATTCTGACATTTAAAATGAATTCCTGGACACTACACTGGCAACTTGATTTCTTTAACAAAAGCTCATATGCAGCGAATGGAAGGAATTCACTAAAGTACTATGATAACGTAGACATTATCTTGATATCCAAAACAAATTTCTTTCAGTGTCTATATTCCTAGGTCTCACATCAAAGTCCTGCTTCAGCAGGTGTAGAATGGACCCAGGATTCTACTCATGGTGAAACTGCTGTGGTACAAGAACATTGAAGAACAGTTATCAATGAAGCTATTGTTTCTGTATCATCTCACTGGGTCATTTGATCATTGTGCCAAAAGGCCTTCTGATTGATCCTCATTAACAAGTTTAAATGACCACAGAGATTTTCATTGCATGTTTGTTCAGAGTAAACTTACACTTGTCTATTGTCTGTCCTTTGTCAGGACAAAAATAACCAAATTTCCATTTTATAGGAATGTAACATTTTTGTTACGGAGGACATTAAGGAAACCTATTGCAATATTCAGAATATACTTTTCTGTCTTTTTAGAGTGTACAGGTTTTCCATAATATGTTACAAAAGAGAGTTTAATATTTTGTGTGTACTCCACAGTTTATAACAGAACACTGATGTCACGTGATTCTGTCCTTGATTTTCATGCATCTCTTTCAAGTAAGAAGAACATTAGATGGGGCTTTTTGGCACCTACTATTTTACAGATCTGCTTGCATGGAGATGGCCTGAGCTGACTCTACTGCCAATGCACTTGGGGATTTACTATGGTTTCATCTATTTGAAACACACAAACCTTGCCAAATCCGAGCACAACCAGATGGGGAAGAAGGCAAAGCACACCTAAATGGTCTGACAGTGTCAAAGGTCAGGTTTAATTGCAGTTGTTGGAAGACTTAAAAAAGTACCACAATCCCAATTATTTCCCAATGTTTCAATACTCATTTTTAGTAACTACCAACACAAGCTTATTTACCTAAACACAATTTATAAAGAAGAAAAATATTGTTTCTTTTCTGCTTAATCATATACATTAGTGTGGGAACAAAAAAGAACAGAATGTTGAAAGTTTTAGCAGAACATTTGTAGTATAGCACAAAAAAAACCCTCTGTGAAAAAAGAGACGGCCATCACTCTTCATATTAAAAGTCATTCTAGTAATAAACCCAAAAAAATCCAGTTGCTTCAATGGGCTTTAGGAATTGTGTCACTTTCCATTCTAATATTGCTGATGAAGTAAGACGTCTTTATTTACAGCTAATAAAACACTCTGGATTCAGCTTGAATTTCTTTTCAGTAACTCCAAGAAAATTAAATTGCTGGTCACTCTCCAGTCTAAATAAAATAACTCTTCAAGCATAAGAGTCAATCAGTATTCCCCAACCCATGAATTGTGAGATAGCAAAACTACAGACTTCTGTAACATAAAATTCTAAGTTTAAAATGTTTGAAGTTTTGGTCTTTAAATATTTTTTAATACAATCTCAGATTAATTTCCAGAGACTATTTTAGTCAGTATGAGCCTATTTACTACATGACAAACATAGGAAAAGACATGATCAAAACAAACATACATGTATAAAACCACATAAATGATACTATAATAAGTTGTTCTTTTTCACTCAACTGTGCATAGGAAGTAATTCCATTTTGTTTTGTTTTTACACCACAGATTATCTTAGTTCAATCACAAACACACACACACACACACACACACACACACAAAGTTAAGGGTTGGAGATAGAGTTTTTCAAGTCACCACATTTGTCACACAAGCCTGACAGTCAGAGTTCAGCCCTTGAACTCACACAGAAAGCAGCATCTGTTGGCATACTTGTGTAATCCTACACTCTTATGATGAGACAGAAAGAGGAGACAGAATACTCAGTTAGAAACTCACATTTGCAACAGCAGAAACAGGAGATTATGCCCTAAAACAAGGTAGAAGGACAGAACAGTCCACTAAAAGCTGTCCTCTTTTCCTCTAAATGTGCAATGCACACATGTGCTCACACTCACACTCTTGCTCATATACACAGACACCAATAAATTAATACCTTTAAAAATATAAAAAGTAAATTAAGCAGAATGAGAATCACTAAAATATACATTGTCTAAAAATACTACAATAACAACAATATATTGTGTGCTATGTTTAGAAATTAAAAATTAAATTTGTATAAAAATTATATTAAAAGTTAGCATAATTCATAATATATTTCAAGGTAAGAATAAAATATTAAAGCTAGTGTTTACATGTTAATATTTTTTCAGTTTGCTGTTTTTTGTCTTAAAAATGGCATGAGGCCACAAAGTTAATTTTTTAAGACCATTAGAATTTACTTTTCTCTTTTTTTTCTGAAACATTTTATATGAAGTATTTTATACATTCATTAGTAAAGCTGACTTTTTTCTCCCACATTATTTTTTCATTTGCTTTTACTGACTTTTAGCCTGTGCTTAATACAGCATTTTCTACTGCAAGGACATTTATCCAACATCCCTACACACATAAATTCTGACATACAGTGGGATATCAAGAGATTTTTTGAGGAATAAAAGAATAGACAGTTTAAGTTTTAGCAACTTGCTGGAACAGATACAAATTAATGGAACAAATGCAAAAGAAAAGTTGAAATATACTTTGGAAACTATTTCTATAAAATCTTAACTCCATCTTTTCACTAAGTAAATTTATTAGAATTTGCTGGTCAGTTTTTGTTTGGAGAAGAAATAATGTATGTTTGTATGTTTCAGACAATAAACACATTATTCATCCTTGTACAAAAATACTTTCTTGATAAAACTACCCATTACATTTTTAATTTGAAAAATAGCATACAAAAGTATTTTATTTAGCCTTGTAACCATAAGACATTTTCAGAAAATTAGATGATAAAGTTTTATATGAGGAATCCAATACTCTTCAAAATTCTCTTTAAATGGCATGTAGGCTGATTTGTAAATTGATGACTATAATATTTTAATATACTAGAATTTTCTACATTATACACATAGTAACATCACATAGTCTCTTTCTGTTATTTCTCCTTGTTTAGAGGATGCCAAATATTTCTGGGAATATAAGAGATGACTCACTTCATCTGTACCCATCTACTGGCCTGGAAGGTTAAAAGGTTTTGAAAAACCCTCTGAATGTGGGTGTCAGTGAGGAGACCTAGGCAGTCTATGGGGCATTGAGTAGTAGATCAGTATTTATCCCTGCCATGCAAATGGACTTTGGGTGCCCATCCCACTTTGAGAGATGCTCTATCAGCCTGGACACATGGAGGAGGGTCTAGGCCCTGCCCTGGATGAAATGACAGACTCTGGAGATCACCCATGGAGGGCCTCACCCTCCCTGGGGAATGGAGCGGGGGTTGGGGGGGGAGAGCTGGGGAGACTGGTGGGGGTGTGGTGGAGGATGGGAAGGAGAGGGAGCTGGGATTGACATGTAAAGCAAGCTGATTTCTAACTTAAATAAAAAAATCTGTAAAAAAAAACTACTTGCAGATAGCACACATATAAAATACACTGACAGTTCTGTACCTGTTTTATTGGAAAGTCTAAATGACACCATCTTGTCTGGAATATTACACACGTTCCTCACTGAAGCAATACAGCTGTAGTTAGCATAGTCCTGAGGTCGAAGATTTTTTAGCTTTAAGATCTTTGTTTCACCCTGCAAAGAAAGAAGAGGTCATTAGCTAAGACCAGTGATAAGCAGAAGGAATGAACTGATACATGGCATTGTAATGCATTAAATCATATTATTAGCAAGAGTTGTCCTCAATGATAAAGGAAATACTGCATTCAAAAATAATATTGGAATATGCCTAGAAGTAAAAACAAACAGGCAACAATGAAAATTCATAACATTTTCTTTGCACACTTGCTTTCTAGGGGAGGAAAGCTTACTTCTGGCAGTAGTTATGCAGATTATCATGCAAAGTTCTGAACAGTACAGTTAATAATTGAGTTTATTCAACAAACACGGCAGTCTGTGTAGACTTCAACAGGAATCACTGTTATAAAAGGGGCTTCTGAAGAAGAGCCAACTAATGAAATGCTGGTTTTACAGCAATTTAGAGAAGAGAATCTAGTGACAGATCATTATGCTGATATACATAAATATTGGTATAGATGGAGCAACTGCAGATGCCAGACTGAACGCCGAAGTTTCTGAATTGTTGTCATCCTTGCTGTTTTAACACAGAAGCACATGTAAATGTGGAATGCTGCAGACAGCTCTAACTCAGAATTGGTCAGAATACCATAGGAATTCCTGGTGAGCAGGATTGCAGAAGCACTGCATGAAACTGTTGTAGTGTAAAGAGAACAAACATTCATAGCAGAAATGAACCTCCTGCTCAATTCAGGCTACTGTCCTTGGAATTCTCTAATCTCTCAATTCCCTGCCTTCTCTGAAAATAGTTCCTCTGCTAAGGAATGTATTTTTCATGACAAAATAGCACTTTAATGACTTCCTATATGGGGGAAGTATCACAATATCAATTTTCTTGTCTCAGATATTAAATTGTGAAAGGAAATTATTTTTTGCTTAAAAAACATCATTTAATTCTTAAAAACAACCATGCACCCAATATACCACTCAGTGACTTTACACAGAAAGCCTAAGTAAATATTTTACACAGCTATCCAGCCTGGATTTCTCAAAGGGGATAGAAATCTACAACAGTGCCCATGACATCATGCTAATAATCCTGCCATTCATGTCAAACTTCAATTCTAAACAAACTACACGTATAACCTTTTCCTCAGCTAAATAAGCAAAACCCTACTTTATGATTAGTATTGTGAACTAATCTTTGCAACAATGGACATTCCCTTCACCTCACATAATTACCACGCTTCACTTTTCTAAAAAAACGTGAAGCCTAATCACTAAGTCTCCCTGATGATTCAGTGAATGATTTTCCTTGTATTAAGAAAGATTTGTGTTACCTTTTTTAAAGCAGAGATCCTGCAAAAATGTATACAGAAATCAATGTAGTTTTGTGATATAGCTAAACATGTTCTCTAGTGACACAGAAATATCATGCACCAAACAAATGCCTTGAAAAATGTGTTTAGGTGTGCAGAAAAAAAAATTTATACTTAAACTAGTTGACCCAGGTTATTTTTTTATATTCGTGTTTATCATTGTGCATGTGTGCATGTGTGTGTATGAGTGTGTGATTACGTGTGTGACTATGTGTGCATGCAGGTCACAGGACAACTTACAAGAATATGGTTCTCGCCTAACACTGTATGAAACCTGGGGCTCAAACCCTGAACATGATGCTTGGTGGCCATCTCACCAGCTCTCAGTTCTCTTTCCTCAGATAACTCACTGCTCAGATGTCTTTACTTCTCTTACTCAGAAATATTGGTATCACCTGAGACTCTAGCGCCACTGCTAACTTCATTTGTTCAAGATCCTTAGGTGGCATTTTGTGCTTCTGAATTTGTATTGCAAACTCTGTTGCTCTACACGTCTCGTTATTTGAGAAACTCCCTCTCCAGGTAGATACTTGTCTTCCACTACCCCAAAACTTGCTTCAATATGTGCTTGTGATGTTTCACATACACTGAAAGCTTAACATATCCTAAAACAAACTTGACATGTCTTCCTCTAAACCAATGCTTTATTCCTTAATAACACATCTTAGACTTTAGTAAAACTTTTCATGTTCATATTCAGAGTCTCCTTCAGGCAGCTCTTTTGTTGGCATTTAAACATGTTCCATCTCATATTATCCTTTTTTATTTATTTTTACTTATAATATGGTGACAATACATTCAGCTGACAAGCAGAGTTGGAGGACAACCATTGTCTCAGAATTAGTTATTTATAATTGACAAATAAAACCATGTTTCTAAGGAATACAATGGTTTGTTTTCTTATAGCTTTACATTATGACATAAACACAAACAAGATAATGGAATGTGAATCACCTTAAAAAGTTGATATCCTTGTATTTAATCTCTATTTTGCTTGTGTATTTTTTATTTAAAATAGAAACAAGCTTGTTTTACATGTCAATCCCAGTCCCCTCTCCCTCCCCACCTCTCTGACTCCTACTGATCTCATACCCCATGTCCTTTCTGCTTCCCAGGGAGGATAAGCCCTTCCATTGGAGATCTTCAAAGTCTGTCATATCATTTGGAGCAGGGCCTAGACAATCTCCTGTGTGTCTAGGCTGAGAGGGTAACCCTCTATGTTGAGTGGGCTCCCAAAGTCCACTCATGTACTAGGGATAAATACTGATCTACTACCAGAAGACTCATAGATTGCTCAGACCTCCAAACTGACATCCACCATTCTGCTTCTAATGTGTGGAACACTTTGTGGAGAATTGGTATTAGCTGTTCTTTGAATTTCTGGTAGAATTCTGTACTGAAATCATCTGTGCATTGGCTTTTTTGGTTGGGATACTTTTGATGGCTGCTTCAAATTCATTAGCAATTATAGGTCTATTTAAATAGTTTATTTGTTCGTGATTTAATTTTGGTAAGTGATCTATGTAGGAAATTGTCCATTTCCTTTAGATTTTCGATATTATGTGGAGTACAGGTTTTCAAAGTATGACCTGATGATTCTCTGGATTTCCTCACTGTCCGTTGTTATGTCCCCTTTTCATTTCTGATTTTGTTAATTTGCATGTTCACTCTCTGCCTTTTGGTAAATTTGGATAAAGGTTTGTCTATCTTGTTGACTTTCTCGAAGAACCTTGATTCTTTGTATTATTTTCTTAGTTTCTACTTTATTGATTTCAGCAATCAATTTGATTATTTCCTGGCATCCATTCATCCAGGTGAGTTTGTTTCTTTTTATTCTAAGGCTTTCATTTGTGTTGTTAATTCTCTAGTGTCACTATTCTCCAGTTTCTTCATGTGGGTACTTAGTGCTATTAACTTTCCTGTTAGCACTGTTTTCAAATTGTCCCATAAGTTTGGATATGATGTGTCTTCATTCTCATTGAATTCTAGGAAGTATTTAATTTCTTTTTTTATTTCTTTCTTGAGCCAGGAGTGGTACAATTGTGCATGTGTTCAATTTCCATGAGTTTGCAGTGATTCTACAAATTGTGTTGTTATTAAATTCTAACTTTAAAGCATAATTATCTTATAGGATACAGGGGATTTTTTCCAATTTTTTTTGTACCTGTTGAGGTTTGCTATGTTGCCAAGTATGTGGTCAATTTTAGAGGAAGTTTCATGTGGCACTCAAAAGAAGGTATGTTCTTTTATGTTTGGATGGAATGTTCTGTAGATATCTGTTAAACCCAATTGGGTCATATTGTCTTCTAGTTCCTTTGTGTTTTTAAGTTTCTATTGGGTAGTCCTGTCTAGTGGTGAGAGTGGGATGTTGAAGCCTTCCCACTATAAGTGTGTGAGGTTTTATGTGTGATTTGAGTTTCAGTAATGTTTCTTTTAGGAATGTGGGTGCCACTTTATTTGGGTCATAGATGTTCAGAATTAAGACTTCATCTTGATGGATTTCTCCTGTTATGAATATTAAATGACCTCCTTCATCTCTTTTGATTGTTTTTAGTTTAAAGTCTAATTTGCTAGATATCAGGATTGATACCCCTGCTTGTTTCTTGAGTCCATTTGATTCGAAAAAATCTTTTCCTAACCCTTAATTCTGAGTTACAGTCTGCTTTTGAAGTTGAGCTCTGTTTCTTGTATGCAGCAGAAGGATGGATTCTGTCCTTGTACCCACTCTGTTAGCCTGTGTCTTTTTATACGCTAATTTAGACCATTGGTATTGAGGCATATTAATGACCATTGATTGTTGATTCTTGTTTGTTTTGAATTTGTTGGTGGTGCTGGTATTGTGTGTGGATCCTCTCCCCCCCCCATTGTTTCTTTTGGCATCTGGTAAAGTTGGATTATCTATTGCCTATGTTTTGAGGATGTATTTAACTTCCTTGGGTTGGAGTTTTCCTTCCAGAATTTTCTGTAGGGCTGGGTTAGTGAATATGTATTGTTTAAACCTGGTTTTGTCATGGAATATCTTGTTTTCTCCATTTATAGTGATTGAAAGCTTTGCTGAGTATAGCAGTTTGGGCTGGCATATGTGGTTTCTTAGTGTTGGTAGAATTTCTATCCAGGACTTTTTGGCTTCCAGAGTTTCCGTGGAGAAATCAGGTGTAATTCTGATAGGTTTGCCTTTATATGTTACTTGGCCTTTTTCCTTTGCTGCTCTTAATATTCTTTCTTTATTCTGTATGTTTGGGAGTTTTATTATTATGTGGTAAGGAGTCTCTTTTGTGGTCCACTCTATTTGTTGTTCTGTAAGATTCTTGTACTTTTATTGGCATGTATTTCTTTAGGTTGGGACATTTTCTTCTATGATTTTGTTAAATATGTTTTCTGCACCTTTGAGGTGGGTTTCTTCACCTTCTTCTATACCTATTATTCCTAGGTTTGAACTTTTCACTGTGTCCCATATTTACTGCATATTTTGTGTTAGGGATTTGTTGGACTTCAGATTTTCTTTGGTCAATGAATCTTTTTCTCCTAGTACACCTCCAACACCTGAGATTATCTCATCTCTTGTATTCTGTTGGTTATGCTTGCTTTTGTAGTTCCTGGTCATTTACCCAGATTTTCAATTTCTAGCATTCCCTCAGTTTGTGTTTTCTTTATTTGTCTATATTTCAGTTTCCAGGT